TTCACCATGTTGGCCAGAGTGGTCTCTAACTCCTGGCCTTAAGTGATCTGCCCGCCTTAGCCTCCCGAAGTGCTGAGATTACAGGTGTGAGCCACCGTGCCCGGCCTCTAGTGGCCATCTTAATAGATAGGACAAACAGACAACATTCCTGTCTTTGCTGAGTGGCCTATTGGATAGTGCTTTCTAGAGTGTTCCAGCACGCTGGAGACAGGAAGCAACTCAGCTGGGCGTGGTGGCTGACGCATGTAAGCCCAGTACATCGGGAGACGGAGGTGGGTGGATCACTTGAGGCTAGGAGTCTGAGACCAGCCTGGGCAAGAGCTAGACCCTGTCTACACAAACAGAGACAGGCAGCCACTGTTACAAATCCTGCCTGGCCCACTCCCACCTCCAATGTATATTGAGAAGGGGCTTTGGCTGGAGGAGGGAGAAGGGACAGGTGGGTGGAATGGTGTCTAAGCAGCCATCTGGCTAGTCCTCAGTTCCAGAGAGCTCCCCAGTGGCACTGACATCTGAATCTAAACGCTGAATGCAACTTGGGGCCAGTGTAGACATCTGCCATCCAACGCCCCTATTCTGTCCTGGGAGGAGCAGAAGAGTTGGGTGTCTTAAGGCCACAATGGGAAAGTAGATGACACACTTCAGTCTGGAAGCCCAAAGCCCATCTCTGTCCTGGGAACACTTCGTTTTTTACATTTCATTTATTTATTTATTTAGAGATGGAGTCTTGCTCTGTTGCCCAGGCTGGAGTGCAATGGCGAGATCTCAGCTCACTGCAACCTCTGCCTCCCGGGTTCGAGCGGTTCTCCTGCCTCAGCCTCCCAAGTAGATGGGATTACAGGCACCTGCCACCATACCTGGCTAATTTTTGTATTTATAGTAGAGACAGGGTTTCATCATATTGGTCAGGCTGGTCTTGAACTCCTGACCTCAGGTGATCTGCCTGCGTCAGCGTCCCAAAATGCTGGCATCACAGGCATGAGCCCCGGCGCTTGGCCCGGCCCATTTTAGTTGAGACAGGGTTTTGCTCTATTGCCCAGGCTGGAGTGCAGTAGCATGATCAGAACTCACTGCAGCCTTAACCTCCTGGGCTCAATAAATCCTCCTGCCTCAGCCTGCCAAGTAGCTGGGACTATGAGCACACACCACCACGCCTGGCTAATTTTTCATTTTGTATTTTTTTTTTTTTTTGAGATGGAGTCTCACTCTGTTGACCAGGCTGGAGTACAACGGCTGTGATCCTGGCTCACTGCAATCTATGCCTCCTGGGTTTTAGCAATTCTCTCTGCCTCAGCCTTCCGAGCAGTGGGGATTACAAGTGTGTGCCACCACGCCTGGCTAATTTTTTGTATTTTTAGTAGAGATGGGGTTTCATCATCTTGGCCAGGCTGGTCTTGAACTACTAACCTCAGTATCCACCCGCCTTAGCCTTCCAAAGTGCTGGGATTACAGGCGTGAGCCACTGTGCCCGGCCCAATTCTCCTGCCCCATCTTATCGAGTAGCTGGGACTAGAGGCGCATAATACCACACCCAGCTAAGCTTTTGTATTTTAAGTAGAGATGAGGTTTCACCATATTGGCCAGCCTGGTCTTAAACACCTGATCTCATGATCTGCCCACCTCAGCCTCCCAAAGTGTTGGGGTTACAGACACAAGCCACCACACCTGACAAATTTTTCAGTTTATTGTAGAGATGGGGTATTGCTATGTTGCCCCAGCTGGTCTTGAACTCCTCCCTTTATGCAACCCTCCTGCCTCGGCCTCCCAAAGCTCTGAGATTACAGATGTGAGCCGCCACGCCCAGCCTGGGAACACTTAAACTCTCCCACATCCAACCTACGCTCTGGTGGGAGTGAGGGGCATCCTGCCCACTATTTGCTACTCTGAAAGGCTGGAGCCAACTGGAGATCACCATCTACCCACCCTGCAAGCCTGTGTGACTGGCCATCTCTTTTCTTTTTCCTAAGACGTAGTTTCACTCTTGTTGCCCAAGCTGGAGTGCAATGGCGAGATCTTGGCTCAATGCTACCTCCACCTCCCGGGTTTAAGAGATTCTCCTGCCTCTCATCCTCTTGAGTAGCTGGGATTACAGGTGCCCGCCACCACGCCAGGCTTTTAAAAAAAAATTTTTTTTTTTTTTTTGAGACGGAGTTTCGCTCATGTTACCCAGGCTGGAGTGCAATGGCGCGATCTCGGCTCACCACAATCTCCACCTCCCGGGTTCAGGCAATTCTCCTGCCCCAGCCTCCTGAGTAGCTGGGATTACAGGCACATGCCACCATGCCCAGCTAATTTTTTGTATTTTTAGTAGAGACGGGGTTTCACCATGTTGACCAGGATGGTCTCGATCTCTTGACTGCGTGATCCACCCGCCTCGGCCTCCCACAGTGCTGGGATTACAGGCTTGAGCCACCGCGCCCGGCCTTAAAATTTTTAATAGAAACGGGGTTTCATAATGTTAGCCAGGCTGGTCTCAAACTCCTGACCTCAGATGATCCACCCGCCTTGGCCTCCCAAAGTGCTGAGCCACTGCACCCAGCCATGACTGGCCATGTTTAAAGCCCCAAACCTACCCAACACACCAAGCTAAAAACCTCAACTGAGATGTTCCCATGCCCTGACCTTTGGCTCCACCTGACACCTGTCAGCCATCAACCATCTGCTCCCCAACCCTGGGTCTCTGATCCCTGAATGCTCTACTTGCACCCATCCCGGAACCTGCTTCCTGGTCCTCAGGTGGAGCATGGCCTTTGCAAGGCTCCTGGTGCCAGGCTGCCTGGATTCAAATCCAACTCTGCCACCTCAGTCTCATCTGTAAAACGGGGGCAAACACAAAGCTACTTCACAGGGTGGGCACGAGGCGAACGGAGCCGATCGCAGAGGAGGAATGATCCTGGCATGTACTAAGTGCTCACCATCAAGGACTGTGGCCCACGGTTCTCCATTCTGCCTCAGAACCACGAATGTCCCTCTGTATCCTAGATGAGAACACTGATTAGTAGGCCGGGCGTGGTGGCTCACCCCTGTAATCCCAGCACTTTGGGAGGCCAAGGCAGGCAGATCACTGGAGGTCGGGAGTTCCAGAACAGCCTGGCCGACGTGGCGAAACCGTCTCTACTGGAAATACAAAAATTAGCCGGGTGTAGTGGTGCGTGCCTGTAATCCCAGCTACTCAGGAGGCTGAGGCAAGGGAATCACTTGAACCAGGGAGATGGAGGTTGCAGTCAGCTGAGATCGAGCCATTGCACTTCAGCCTGGGCAACAAGAGCAAAACTCTGTCTCAAAACCAAACAAAACAAACAAAAAAAACCCCCATTGATTAGCTAAATATCCCTTTCCGGGTTCTATTGCCACAGAATCTTTGGCCTGTTCTCAACCCGCCCTGGGAAAAACTGGGGCTTGGATGTACTGTGTCACATCTTGGCTCTCTCCTCCCTAGGAACCTCTGCACACCGGAGGTGCACCCCTGTTTGATGGGGAGCAACGGGGCAAGAGGGTGGGCAACGTTTCCATCAGTTTCAAACGAGCTCTGACACTTCCACCTAAGCCCCAGCTGTGGGTACTGAGCCCTCAACAGGAAAGATTCCTGTGCCATCTCTCTTCCCAGATCTCACCATCCACATGCCCCCTGCCAGTCTTGTCTGCACTGCCCATTGGGGCAAACAGTTCTTGGTCAGGGCACCCTGCTTCCTGCAGGACCAAGATGCATTTTGAGAAGGTGACAGTAGTTACCTCGTGCTCCCAAACACTCAGGACAACTGGCAGACCGTTTTTGGAAGGTTCACAGCCACCAGCGTCCCAAAGATCAACAGACAATGGCGAAAAGGCTGGCATCTCCCTAGGCACGTGTTCATGCCAGAAATTACATATTCAGTCCCTCCTCTCCCCTGAGCTCTGACAGGCCCTAACAATTCTAAAGCTCTCCAGGTTTTGATGTCCCCATCTTTCTTTTTTTTTTTTTTTTGAGACACAGTCTTGCTCTATCACCCAGGCTGGAGTGCAATGGCGCAATCTCTGCTCACTGCAACCTCCGCCTCCTGGGTTCAAGTGATTCTCCTGCCTCAGCCTTCCAAGTAGCTGGGATTACAGGCACACACCACCATGCCCAGCTAATTTTTTAGTAGAGACAGGATTTCACCACATTGGCCAGGCTGGTCTCAAACTCCTGACCTTGTGACCCACCCGCCACGGCCTCCCAAAGGGCTGGGATTACTGGCATGAGCCACCTCGCCTGGCCTTCTTTTTTTCCCCCAAGATGCAATCTCATTTTGCCACTCAGACTAGAGTACAACGGCACCATCTTGGCTCACTGCAACCTCTGCCTCCTGGGTTCCAGCAATTCTCCTGCCTCAGCATCCCAAGTAGCTGGGATTATAGGCGCCCGTCAGCATGCCTGGCTAATTTTTGTATTTTTAGTAGAGGTGGGGTTTCACCATGTCGGCCAGGCTGGTCTCGAACTCCTGACCTCAGGTGATCCAAAGTGCCGAGATTATAGGTGTAAGCCACCATGCTCGACTGATGTCCCCATCTTTATCCATCTGTCTCTCCCTTCCTTTTCTATCATGTTATGGACCTCTGCAAGCTTCTCTAGATCTCCTGCTACTGGTCACAGGAGCTGCAGGCCAGGTGCTCCAAACCGGTTGTTTCCTTTATTTTGACAAAAGCCCATTTAATGGATAACAAAGATAAAGATGGGATCTGTTACCCAACATCCCTGGTTAGCACTGCAACTGGGATTCTAAGTTGTGCAGCTGCATTCGAAAGGCCAATCACAAGATAATTCTGTCCCGAAAGGGATGAATCCTGACCTCATGACTACGCTCAGAACATGCCACTGCAGGCCAAATGCAGTGGCTCGCACCTGTAACCAATCCCAGCACTTTGGGAAGCTGAGGTGGGCAGATCAACTGAAGTCAGGAGTTAAGAGACATGGTGAAACCTGTCTCTACTAAAAATGCAAAAATTAACTCGGTGTGGTGGCACATGCCTGTAGTCCTAGCTACTTGGGAAGCTAAGGCAGGAGAATTGCTTGAACCCGGGAGGTGGAGGTTGCAGTGAGCTGAGATCACACCACTGCACTCAAGCTTGGGTAACAAAGTGAGACTCAGTATCAAAAAAAAAAAAAAAAAAAAAGAAAAAAAAAGAACAGCCAGGCACAGTGGCTCACGCCTGAAATCCCAGCACTTCGGGAGGCTGAGGTAGGCGGATCATGAGGTCAAGAGATCGAGACCATCATGGCCAACATGGTGAATCCCCGTCTCTACCAAAAATACAAAAATTAGCTGGGCGTGGTGGAGCGTGCCTGTAGTCCCAGCTACTCAGGAGGCTGAGGCAGAATAGCTTGAACCCAGGAGGCGGAGGTTGCAGTGAGCTGAGATCGCGCCACTGCACTCCAGCCTGGTGACAAACCGAGACTCTGTCTCAAAAAAAAGGACACTCCACCCATTTTCCATCCTGGAACTCTGACCTGGTACAATGCCAATCCTTTAGCCTCCATTTTTACTTTTTTTTTGTAGACACGAGGGTCTCACCATGTTACTCAGGCTGGACTCAAGAAATCCCCCTGCCTTGGCCTCCCAGAGTGCCGGGATTATAGGCATGAGCCACTGGACCTGGCATTTGGCCTCAAATTGACAGCCTAGTCCAGGACCTTGTGTGGCTCCCCATTCAAAGGCTGCATCCCACATGCTGCAGGCCACAGTTCGAGGACAATAATGGTTCATACTCAGTCGTCTTAATAACTGTACAAAGTTCATGGGTTCTTTTTTTTTTTTTTGAGACGGAGTTTTGCTCTGTCACCTAGGTTGGAGTCCAGTGGCGTGACCTCGGCTCACTGCAAACTATGCCTACTGAGTTCAAGCGATTCTCCTGCCTCAGCCTCCCCAGTAGCTGGGATTACAGGCACCCACCATCATGCCTGGCTAATTTTTTTGTATTTTTAGTAGAAGAGGCGTTTTTCTCCATGTTGGCCAGAATGGTCTCAAACTCCTGACTACAGGTGAGAGCCACAGCACCCAGCCTATTTATTTTTGAGACAGAGTCTCGCTCTGTCACCCAGACTGCAGTGACTTGGCTCACTGCAACCTCCGCTTCCTGGGTTCAAGCGAATCTCCTGCCTCAGCCTCCCAAGTAGCTAGGATTACAGGCAAAGCCACCACGCCTGTAATCCTAGGATTCTGGGAGGCTGAGGCAGGCAGATCACAAGGTCAGGAGTTTGTGACCAGCCTGACCAACATAGTGAAACCTAGTCTCTACTAAACACACAAAAATTAGCCGAGCATGGTGGTGCACATCTGTAATCCCAGCTACTCAGGAGGCTGAGGCAGGAGAATCCCTCGAACCCAGAAGGCAGAGATTGCAGTGAGCCGACATCATACCACCGCAATCTAGCCTGGGCAACAGAACAAGAGTCTGTCTCAAAATAAATAAATAAATAAATAAAATAAACAAAATAAAAAACTCCAGCCTGGGCAACAGAGTCCATCTCCAAAAAAAAAGAGACATAGGGTTTTGCCAGGCTGGTATCGAACTCCTCACCTGAAGTGATCCACCCGCCTTGGCCTCCCACAGTGCTGGGATTACAGGTGTGAGCCACCACATCCAGCCAATTTGCACAATTTTTTTTTTTTTTGCTCCCTCCCGTCCTCCCTTCCAACTTGCACATTTTTGACATTCTTGTTCTAGAACATTGTTCTTCAAACTTGAATGTGCTTGAGAATCCTCTAGGGATTTTACCAAAAAGTGGGTTCTGATCAAGTACATCTGAGCAACAGCCTGAGAGTCTACATCTTTTCCTTTAAGGGTGGGAGGAAGAGAAACAGCCCCCATTCAACCTGCCCTCTCCTCGTCTGCTGCCTGTGCTGATTCTGCATTTCTACAAGCTTTTGGGTAACTCCAAGAGTGCTGTACCATGGACCACTCACTTAGACACAAGAATACAGGACTTGAGGCCAACTGCAGTGTAATCCCTTTGGGAGGCTGGGGTTGGCGGATCACTAGGTCAGGAGTTTGAGACCAGCCTGGCCAACATGGTGAAACCCGTCTCTACCAAAAATACAAAAATTAGCCAGGTGTGGTGGTGGGCCCCTGTAATCCCAATTACTCAGGAGACTGAGGCAGGAGAATTGCTTTAACCTGGGATGCAGAGGTTGCAGTAAGCCAAGATCAAACCATTGCACTCTAGCCTGGGCAACAGAGCGAGACTCTGTCTCAAAAAAGAAAAAAAAAAAAACTACAGGATTTGAGCTGGGTGTGGTGGCCTGCAACCTGAGCCTGTGGCAGGAGGATCCTGTAAGCCAAGGGCAGCATGAGCAACACAAGGAACACAGGGCCAGGCATGGTGGCTCTTGTCTGTAATCCATCATTTTGGGAGGCTGAGGCAGGAGAACCGCTTGAGCCAGGGAGCTGGAGGCTGCAATGAGCTCATGCCACTGCACTCCAGCCTAGGTGACAGAGTGAGAACCCGTCTTTAGCTAAAAAACAAAAGAATACCCCACAATGGGCCGAGCAAGGTGGCTCATGCCTGTAATCCCAGCACTTTGGGAGGTCAAGGCGGGTGGATCATGAGGTCAAGAGATTGAGACCATCCTGGCCAACACGACGAAACCGCGTCTCTACTGAAAATACGAAAATCAGGGGCGGGGGGAGAATTTAAAAAAAAAAAAAAAAAAAATTCGCCAGGCGTGGTAGTGGGTGCCTGTAATCCCAACTACTCGGGAGACTGAGGCAGGAGCATTGCTTGAACCTGGGAGGCAGAAATTTCAGTGGGCTGATACCTCGCCATTGCATTTCAGCCTGGGCGACAGAGCAAGACTCCATCTCAAAAACAAAAAGAAACCCCCCAATGATAAGTGTTTGCTGTCTGAAGTCATTAAATTTCGGGATGGGATACTTTGCCGTGTGGGGACACCGAACATACACCAGCCTCAGGCCCCCCACTGCCCGGGGCTCTAGGAAAGTCCCGTTCCAGACCCTCTGCCCCGCCACCACTGTCACCCACCCCAGCGCCGCAGGACAGAGGCACTCCAGCCTGCCGGTAAAGTGTTTGCCGTTGGGTTTCGTTTGGCTGGTTGTGTGTACACAGTGTATACAAGTTGAGTTGTACAGAAGCCCAAGAAAGAGCAAGAGACAAAGGGTGGTGCGAACGAGGGGCGGGGGGCGGGGGGAGAAAGGGGAGGGGGGGAAGGAGACCGATAAAAAATAGAACCACATCCAGACGACAATGGGGGGGCAGCGGGTGGGGGCCAGACACAGACAAATCGCCGTAGAAAAGGAGTGGGAGGGGCAGAGAGAGGGGACCCTTCTCCCCCCTCCACCTCCCCAGCCCCCTGCCCCCAGTATGTACAATAAATAAGATTAAAAATAATTAACAAGATGCGTGTCCCCTCCCACCTGACGCCGAACGCCTTGGGGAAGGAATGGCCTTTAGCAAAGATCTTGGCCTGCAGGGGGGACTTGGGGGGAAGGGGTCCCCCAGCTCTCTGAAGCCACCCCACCCCCCCAACCATACATAGACTTTTCCTATACATTATGTACAAGGTGGAGGGGGCGGGGCTGTGGCTGTGGAGGGGGGGTCGGGGCAAGGGGAGAGGGAAACCGTTACTAAATAGACATTTATACATATATATAAATAATTTCTCTGTACACCGAACAGTGAGAGGAATGGGGAGGGAGTGGAGGGGGCTCGGGAGAGGGGGGGAGTTGGACTTTGAACCGTGCCCTTCGGGGGGGCAGCACAGACACACCCTGACCCATCACCCCCTTTCCCCGGCGATGGAGCCCAGGGGTTAGCTCCTGAGGACATGGGTCTGTCCCAATTCTCGGTTCGCGGAGGAGGCGCCCCCCTAACGGGCTGGGCTGGGCTGGGGTCACCCGCAGCGGCTGTGGGCCTGCGCTTGGGCCAGCAGGTCGCTGAAGGAGTCAAAGAGCTGCTCCAGCCACGGCTGGTTCCGCATGCACTGCTGGACTACCTCCTCCTGGCCCAGGTCCTCGGCGCCGCCCTCGATGGCCAGGGTCTGCAGGAGTCAAACATGGCGCTGGGGAGGGTGGCACAGTGGCCTCTGGGGAGGGAAGGGGCTGGGGCCCGGGGTGTCAGACATCAGTGTCCCAGGGAAGCGAGGGCTGGGGCTGCCTTGTGAAGTCCAAGACGGAAAGACTTGGTTGGGCGCCTGGACTCTTGGGTCGGGGGCAGGAGGGGCTGGGCTTGGACCCCCGGATTCCAGCAGAAGGTCATGAAGGTTGGAATCCCAGGACCGTGGGGGCAGCGGGTGGGGCTCACCTGGTCCCGGCAGCGCAGGAAGGTGTGGTATTTATAGTGGTGGAGTGAATGGTAGAGTGTGTAGTATCCCGACTTTTCCAGCTCAACCTTGAACTCCTGGGCAGGGGTGGAGACGCCTCAGCCCCTCCGGCGTGGCGCTGGGCAGCCCCTCTCCTCCCGCCCCACACACCGCCAGCACTCCCCAGTCCCAGCCCCGGCCCCAGCGCCCACCTGGGCTCTGACCACACTCCTCTTGAGCTTGCTGAGCGTCTTGCGGTTGTAGGGTTCTCCCGCTGGCCGCAGTCGTACAGCCCCCTCCTCCGGGGAGCCCTCCCCACTCTGCTCCACTTGTAGCTGTGGGAACGTGTGCAGGGCATCCTGCAGGAAGCCGATGGGTCAGCTGGACACCGCTCTGAACCCACACACCCCAAACCCAACAGCCAGGTCCTAGATCTGTGACTCAGTTTCCCCCAGGCTGCAGATCAGGAGACACGATTTGAGTCTTGGTCTTCTCAAAGGACAGAGGAGGTTGGGCCTCACCAGTGATGCTTACACTGTGTTTTCCGGGCCGCCTCAGAATCTCAGTGTCACCCAGAATTCTACCCAAGAATTCTGAGCCCCATCCTAACCAAATACCCAGGAATTCTCACCCCATCCCAACCATTTATCACAGAATTCTCCCCCCATCCCAACCGACTACCCCAGAATTCTACCCCCATCCCAACAATCAACCCCAGAATTCTCACCCCATCCCAACCGCCTACCCCAGAATTCTCACCCCATCCCAACCGCCTACCCCAGAATTCTCACCCCATCCCAAACGCCTACCCCAGAATTCTCACCCCATCCCGACCGTCTACCCCAGAATTCTCACCCCATCCCAACCGCCTACCCCAGAATTCTCACCCCATCCCAACCGCCTACCCCAGAATTCTCACCCCATCCGGACCGTCTACCCCAGAATTCTCACCCCATCCCAACCGCCTACCCCAGAATTCTCACCCCATCCCAACCGCCTACCCCAGAATTCTTGGCCTTATCCTAACCATCTACCCCAGAATTCTAATTCCCTACTAACAACACATACTTCTTAAACCTCCCCTAAAATCCTATACTGGTATTATTCACTCTGCTGTAATAGAGTGTAATGTCTCGATCTCACCCACAATCCCCAGTGCCAGTAACAATACATCCCAGAATTTGCAGACTAGACTCATTTCTTCCAGAGTTGTTTTTCTTTTTTGAGACAGTCTCTCCCTGTTGCCCAGGCTGGAGTGCAGTGGCACAATTTCAGCTCACTGCAACCTCTGCCTCTTGGGTTCAAGCAACTCTCTGCCTCAGCCTCCCAAGTAGCTGGGATTACAGGCGCCTGCCACCATGCTGGGCTAATTTTTTGTATTTTGAGTAGAGACAGGGTTTCACCATCTCGGCCAGGCTCGTCTTGAACTCCTGACCTTGTGATCCACCTGCCTCAGCCTCCCAAAATGCTGGGATTACAGGCGTGAGCCACTGCGCCTGGCCCGTCCTGAGTTTTTATAACCTAATGCTACCCAGAATTTCCCAACCCACCCATCACTCTACCCGCAAATGTTCAAAGCCAGCATAACATTCCAGCCAAGATTTCTCAACACCAGCCTAAGAATCCGTTTCAGAATTCTCAGTCACCCTAATGTCCCACCCACCATTCTGAGCAAAACTATCTCAGTCACAGTTCTCAGAGCCAGACTAATATTTCCTGGCACATTTTCTGTTCTTTTTTTTTTTTTTTTTTTTCAGACAGCCCCCCTCTGTCATCCAGGCTGGAGTGCAATGGCGCGATCTCGGCTAACCACAACCTCCACTCCCAGGTTCATGCAATTCTCCTGCCTCAGCCTCCCGAGTAGCTGGGACTACGGGCACGTGCCACCACGCCCAGCTAATTTTTGTATTTTTTAGTCAAGACGGAGTTTCTCCATGTTGGTCAGGCTGGTCTTGAACTCCCGACCTCAGGTGATCCATCCGCCTCGGCCTCCCAAAGTGCTGGGATTACAGGCATGAGCCACTGTGCCCGGCCTCCCTGCATATTATCTTTTGTGCGTGTGTGTGTTCGCTCTGTCACCCAGGCTGGAGTGCAGCGGCACAATTGTGGCTCACTGCAACCTCTGCCTCCTGGTTCAAGCGATTCCCCTGCCTCCGCCTCCCACGTAGCTGGGACTATAGGCTCATGCCACCACGTCTGGCTAATTTTTTGTATTTTTAGTAGAGATGGGGGTTCACTGTGTTAGCCAGGATGGTCTTGATCTCCTGGGCTCGTGATCTGCCTGCCTCGGCCTCTCAAAAGTGCTGGGATCCCAGGCGTGAGCCACTGCACCTGGCCTAATTGCTTTTCTTTTCTTTTTTTATTTTTTTGAGATGGAATTTTGCTCTTGTTGCCCAGGCTGGAGTGCAGTAGCACGATCTTGGCTCACTACAGCTTCCGCCTCCCAGGGTCAAGTGATTCTTAGCCTTCGAGTAGCTGGGATTACAGGCATACACCACCATGTCCAGCTAATTTTGCATTTTAAGTAGAGACGGGGTTTCGCCATGTTGGACAGGCTGGTTTCGAACTCCTGATCTTAAGTGATCCCCCCGCTTCAGCCTCCCAAAGTGCTGGGATTACAGGCATGAGCCACCGCGCCTGGCCGAATTTTTTATTTTCTAAGACTAACTTCCCACCAGCCATCTCAGTGTCAGCCTAATAGCCTATCCCAGAATTCTCAGTGCTTGCCTAGAATCCATCCCAGAATTCTCAGACTCACTGCAAGTCTTCCAGAATGTTGAAAACCAGACTAACATTCTATCTCAGAAGTCTCAGTTCCCCAACAGTCTATCCTGAAATTCTCAGTGCCACACTGACAGCCCAACCAGAATCCTCAGGGCCAGTTTAACGTTGGATTTCAGAGCCGTGACATTCCATCCCAGAATATACAAGAAGGGGAATCATACAGATGACTTAACACTGAAGCCTGGGATCCCAGCAGCCTCCACTGGACCCATGAAGAAGGCGTCGGTGCATGGGCAGCCTTGGGTGCTAGCCTAGTCTTTTTTTTTTGAGATAGTTTTGTTCTGTCTTGCAGGCTGCAATGCAGTGGTGCGATCTCAGCTCATGGTAACCTCCACCTCCCAGGTTCAAGTGATTCTCCTGCCTCAGCCTCCCGAGTAGCTGGGATTACAGGTGCCTGCTACCATGCTCAACTAATTTTTGTATTTTTTAGTAGCGACAGGGTTTCTCCATGTTGGCCAGGATGGTCTTGAACTCCTAACCTCAGGTGATCCGCCTGCCTTGGGTTCCTAATGTCCTGCGATTACAGGCGTGAGCCACCACGCCCAGCCAGGCCTAGTCTGTGTTTGGCTTCAAACTGGTACCCTGCACTAACAGCCCCGCCCTTCAGAGCCACCCCTCCACCACCCCAAGGCTCACAGCTCCTCCCCACGTGGGCTTCATGGCTGTTGAGAAACCAGAGATCTCCTGACAGTCCTGTCCTCAACTGTTCTCCCATCTGAGCCCAGGAGGACGATCTCCTTCCAAGGATCACCCCTCCCCACAGAGGCCGACGTGTATGTGTCTTTTCCATGTGGACCCTGGGCCCCGGACGCCCCCTGCCCCGACCCCCAGGCACCTGCAGGGCCGGGCTTAGCGACAGCCGCTTCAGGACCTTCTTCTTGTGCTCATTCAGCAGGCCGTCTATCTTCCGCATGGGGGGCAGGTACAGCTCATCTGATGGACAAGGACAGGGTGTCAGGAAGGCCATAGCCCTGCAAGGCACTGGGGCCAAGGTGGGATCACAGAGTCTGGGTCCCCAAATCCCTTCCCACTCAGAGACAAAAGCACAGGCCCAAGCCCCCTCCTGCTTCAGACTTAGGAGTCCAGGCCCCCAGCCCCCTCATCCCTCAGACCCTGGAGTCCAGACCCCCAGCACCTCCTCTCAGACCCAGGAGTCCACACCCCAGCCCCTCTTCCCTCAGACCCAG